GACTTCTCCCTCAAAAAATGAAAAAATTTTTGTTCAGTATTTTGCAATAAACATTCAAGTAACGAAATCCGCAAAAAAATTTGACTGATCGCGATTAGATTAAGCAAAAAAATTTTTTTATGACGGGCGGTCAGCGCTGCCGGTATAGCGAGCTGCCGCGCGTCATTGACTTACCTTTAGATTTACTCTGTAATTATAAATAAAAAATAATACTTAATGTTTTAATTAAAAATATCGATATTTTATGATTAATTTTATTTAAACAAATGACAGAGATAATAAATTATATATTTTTTTATAAATAAAAAATAGAGATAATAAATTCTAGCAGTATTCTGATATTTATTTTCATTTATTGTTTTTAAAAAACTTAACGAATCATAATTATTTTAGTTTTTTTTTTAAATATATTGTTAATTTAATAAAAAAAACAAAAAATTTTATCAGTTACCCAACGTTGGTTAAACTGGTTATAACCAATATCAGTAAATAAATATTTGTGACAATCTTGTCAAACGTCAAACGTCTTGACGTTTTATTTAATAACTTTGTATTAAATCGTTTTTATTGTTCTAAATTTAATTAGTTTCTTCCGAATTTGTTTAAAATTTTATTACTGTATTGAAGTTTATTGGTGTTCGTAATTTTGTTAATACTTAATATTTAATTAGTCATGAGCCGCGTAAATAAATGCTGCAAATAAATAATGAAATTGAAATTGATCCAAAAGAGCAATAAACTTCAATACAGTAATAAAATTTTAAACAAATTCGGAAGAAACTAATTAAATTTAGAACAATAAAAACGATTTAATACAAAGTTATTAAATAAAACGTCAAGACGTTTGACGTTTGACAAGATTGTTACAAAATATTTATTTACTGATATTGGTTATAACCAGTTTAACCAACGTTGGGTAACTGATAAAATTTTTTGTTTTTTTTTATTAAATTAACAATATATTAAAAAAAAACTAAAATAATTATGATTCATTAAGTTTTTTAAAAACAATAAATGAAAATAAATAGCAGAATACTGCTAGAATTTATTATCTCTATTTTTTATTTATAAAAAAATATATAATTTATTATCTCTGTCATTTGTTTAAATAAAATTAATCATAAAATAACGATATTTTTAATTAAAAGATTAAGTAATATTCCTTATTTATAATTACAGAGTAAATCTAAAGGTAAGTCAATGGCGCGCGGCAGCGCGCAATACACTGTTTAAAATATCTGCGGTGTAAAAAGTAATCCTAAAATGGTGTCAAAATCCAACACCAAGTGGTGTTAATATAACACCATGAATTAGGGTTGAAAATGAACACCAAAACGGTGTTTATCTAAAAATATTTGAGAAGTGCACCTACCCAGAAAAAAAGGAATAGTTCATTTAACCCAGTTGACCCATAAGTATTTATATTTTTGTGGATCACGTGATGTTCTTAAATCTCGCCTCTGTTGACTTACATGAAGAATATATAAACTAAGGTAGTCCTTTGCTTTGGTGTGACACTACAAGTTGTTCAATACTAAAGAGACCTTAAATAGGTGGAAACAGCTGTCAATACTTGAAGTATTTTAAGTTAGTGGAACTCACTATTAAAACATTATCTCTAGCGAGTTGAAGGTTTCATTTTCTGGAATAATACCACTGGTAATATACTAGTAATGCGTCAAGGAACTTCCTGTTTCCTTTTTTTTTTCCTTTTTTCTGTGTAGTATGATAATTTGACCACAAACACATAATATTTAACACTGAAAAGGAGTTCAATTTACACCAGGTAAAATTTATTTTAATACTGTGTGAAAGTTAAATTAACACCATTTTAGTATTTGAATTTACACCGCCAACGAACCTTATTTAACACCATTTTAGTATTTGAATTGACACCGGACCAACGAACCTTATTTAACACCATTTTGGTTTGTATCGATATAGACCACGTATGGTGTTAATTTGGTGTTAAATTGGTCATGAAATTTTGAACAGTGTACCGGCAGCGCTGACCGCCCGTCATAAAAAAATTTTTTTTGCTTAATCTAATCGCGATCAGTCAAATTTTTTTGCGGATTTCGTTACTTGAATGTTTATTGTTTAATACTGAACAAAAAAATTTTCATTTTTTGAGGGAGAAGTCATTAAAATTTTTATTTGTTAACTTAAAAGTGAATTAACAATATGCAAAAAAAAAAATAATTCAAATTCATACATATTTTCTTAAAGTACAAGTATTGAACTATAACTCCTGAAAATTTCATTAAAAAATCACCAATAGTTTTTTCATTATTAATTTTTTAACTAAAAGTAGTAAAAATTTTCAATTAAAAAAAAATTGTTGTTAAAATTAAAATTTTAAAAAACTGAGCGGGGGATTATTTGTTCATGGTGACTACTTTATGAAAAAATACTCACATTCAAATTCGATGATCAAGTGGAAAATGGGGGGTCTACTTGACGTGTTTTTACTCAATTGTAAATTGTAATGAAGAAAAATAAGGCTTTCTACCCTGTCGGGTAGCCGATTCCTCGCCGATTGGTAAATATTACCGGCTTGCGAAAAAAGCTGCTCACTAGCAACACTCCCAGCAGGCGCAGAAAGATAAATCTTGACCAGCAAATACAAGGCCGGGAACAGGTCTTTATTATATTATTATTCCACCAACTAAAAGGATTTTCAGTTTTTTCAAGCACCAAGCACGACCTGTAGCCCTTTATTTCTTCCTCGACCTTTGTAGGTTCAGCTTTTAAAGAAGAGGGACCTTTTGCCAATTTATTATAAACTGACCAAAATAGCTCGTGCACGAATGGGACTCGCGGGTGGTTTCATTACTTTTCTTTTTTTTAGATGGTGGTGGTGTTGCAGTTGATGAAATCAAAGTTGCCAATGATACATCTTCATTACTACTGTCATTTTTGTCACTCCCAACCACTTCGACGTCGTGCTTTTGGATAATTTCGTATTCTCTTTTAAGGTCCGCAATAACAATTTTGCATTTGTTAGGTGTAAAAAAATTTCCTTTAAAGCGCGGGTCCAGAAACGTGGCAAATAACAGATAATTTTTTGAAGTTGCATCTTTGAAACGAAGCCTCAAATTATTTTTTAATTCGTTCTTTATTGTTCCGACGCCAGCGAAATTGCTTCCTTCACTGTTCAAATAAGCTTCAAGTGTTGAAACGAGTGGGATAACTTCCGATATGCAACAGTTTGCGTGACTGACAATTTTTGTGATCTCTTCAAAGGGCTTCAATAGATTGATGAGGCTCTGTACCAGTTCCCACTCATGATAGTTCAAATCAGTCAAATTTGGATTGTTCACAATAAAGAAATTGATAGCTTTTTTCAATTCCAAGAGGCGCTCCAACATATAATACTCGGAGTTCCAACGAGTGCTGACAGCTTGAATCATTTTTTTTGGTCCCATGTTTAGTTGTACTTGTATTTCATCAAAAGTAGTGCTTTTATTTTGGACATGACATTCAACTTAATTCACGTATCGAAAAACAAAGAACTTTTTCTACGACCACTATGTAAAAGTCACTTTTCATGATGGCATCGTTGCTAAGAAAATGAATCTTTTCATTGGCAAGGCAAAACACGAATGTAAAGTGACATTTCTGTGTGAAAAGTGACAGGTCTGTGTGAAAAGAACCGGAAAGCATCGTTTGACATTCAGCTGTCAAAAAAGTTTTTAGGTTATTTTGTTTTGTATTTAAAAATAATAAAAAATAAAAGGGTCGCAGAAAAAACATTGTGTTATACTTGTGAGAAAAGCTTTCTTTAAGCTCGTGTTAATGCACACTCGGCCTAACGGCCTCGTGGGCAACTTAAAAACTCGCATGAAAAAGTCGCTTTTCAACACTTGTAAAACAAATAACTATTGTCTACGAGAACAACAAACAAAACAGCTGTTTTACAAGCGCATGGCCCGTTACCACGCGATAATCACGTGGTGGACAGCGCACGGTCCTTATTGGTCAATTCGGAGGTGTCCACGCCTACCAAAATTTTCTAGGGCACATTCAGTCATTAATTTTTTTGCAAAGTATTTTACGAAAAAATCAAAAATAAATAATAATAAAAAAATAAAAATGAGGCCGATATATTGGTATCGGCCGATATAGATATCGCATATATCGGTATCGGCCGATAATCGGTATCGGCCAAAAAATCCATATCGGTCGATCCCTAATTATCAATACAAATTTTGTGACAATTTTCTGAAAATTAGATAATTTTGTCAATAATTTGTTGATGATTTGTCGATAATTTCACTTTTTACATCTGGCAACACTGGTGGGTGATATTTTGTGGGTGGATGTGAACAGGTGTAACGGTTGGTTTTTAAATTAAAAAGGTAACAATCAAAAAAATTATTTTTACTAATAAATCTTTTGTAAAATCACAGTGCAATAATTTCATTTTATAGAATTTTGATAAAATTAACTATTTGAACTTCAGCCGTCCTCTCATAGATGGCGCCAATTTCCCTTAAGGGAAATACAATTTCTCTTAACAGAAATGATATTTCCCTTAAGGGAAATTGCATTTCCGTTAACGGAAATGCATTTAAATTCTTAATTATAATAAAAACTACTTTCCTTAACGAAATTTGCATTAAAATTACTATTTGTCATAAAAATATTTTTTATTATTATTTCAAATAAAAATGAAATGTTTTAGTATTTTTATTACAATTTCGAATTTAAATCATCCTCTACATCTAATCTTTTCAATTTAATGTACCCAAAATTTCAATGCTTATTAAAAAAGGAATTTTATTTATAATTTGAAATTAAAATGTAATTTCCCTTAAGGAAAATACATATAATTTCAATTATCTAATGTCTCATGGAAATCAAGTCGAATTAAAATGGGACTTGATAGCCATGTGTAATAAAAACTAAAACGGCTTGCCATAGTGGGAGCCATTGCAATTTGGCCAAGAACTTCAATCTGAGCGATCTCATTGACCAATCTTGGATCATTTCTTTTCTTATTGCAAACAGATCCTCTTTTCTTTCTGGATGTCGATCATTACATATGACCGCCGTTCTTGCGAAGCAACGGTTTTCCGCTCCATAAATAAAAATCATTTTAACGCGTTCTGCAATAGTGTAAACCATTTTAAGAAAAGGATACAAAAAACACCCAACTACTATAGCTTATTTTCACTAATCGATTCGGCAAATCAAATTAATAAATTTACACCGGGCGTACGAAAATACGAACTGCACTTATCTAAATTATATCAGATATAAAAAATTAAAAAAAATGCACAAAAAATTTAAATAAAGGAAAGCATTTTAAACGCATTTTCACATAAAATATTAAAATGAATGGCTGTAACGGCACAGTAAACGCAACCGTTTGAAAACTTGAATTATTTTAATTTATGGATTAAAATTTAATACATTCCATACATTCGTGAGGTAATCCACTTAAAAATTAAAGTAAAAATAAATTAAAAAGAAATGTAACTTATCTAGAATTACATAAGGATTTCAAAAATGGCGAAATAAATAGGGGTTGCTAGTTTTAGGGGTAGGTGATGGAGGTCATGGAGTTAAATGTAATACAACAACAAATACCTCAACAGTTGTCCCCCTTGATATGTAAATTAAAGTGGTTCGCCAAATTTGTATAGTGTTATCAGATAAAGAAATATAAAGTGCTTTTCGTTTTAAATTTGTCACCCTGTATATAAATAAAATGTATATATGTATATGTGTATCCGGAAAAATAGCCTATACAGGGTTAGTTTTAAGTTGACGCGTTCCTTTTAACAGCATGTAGAAATCAGATAAACTAATAAATATTTTAAGTAACTTTTTTATCAAAACTAAGAGAGTTATAGGCCTTCCAAGTTTAATTAAATTTTGAGCCGGTCCTGGCTATTGTTAACAAAAAACATAACCATAAAAATAAAAATAACAAAATTAACAATGAAAAATGTCATCTATGACAACAAACATAACCATTTAAATCAAAATGACATTTAGCAATGAAAAATGTCAGTTTTTTTGTGCCTCAATTATTGTTAAAAATGGTTCATAATTATAGCAATAATGAATTAGTGGAAATGTTACTAATTTATGGAGAGTGTCGTCAAAATGCAAATGCTGCAACTTAAGTAAATAATGACATTTTTTATTGCAAAATGTCAATTTGATTTAAATGGTTATGTTTGTTGTCAAATATGACATTTTGCATTGTTTATTTTGATATTTTTATGGTTATGTTTTTCGTTAACAATAGCCAGGACCGGCTTAAAATTTAATTAAACTTTGATGGGCTATAACTTTTTTATTTTTGAGTTTTGATAAAAAAGTTACTTAAAAAATTTATTTGTCTACCTGATTTCTACCCACTGTTAAAAGGAACGCGTCAACTTAAAACTCACCCTGTATAGAAAAAACCCTGTTTCTATATTTTAAACTTAATAAACAAGAATATATTACCTTTTTACATGCTCTTACTATTTTTTTCAAGTCATATTCAGAGGAAAGTCCTTGTACTGTAGTTAAAGTCTTACGACCATTCCGTTGCTGGATTCTTATATGAACAAGACCGTCTTGAACATCATCATCTGCACCCTTACTTGCATCAGCAAATGGGTCTACAAGAAAACATTGTATTAAATACTTAAAAAGGCAGAAAGTCGTCAGCTACCTGAAACATGATTTATTTATAGTTATTTACTTGATATTTCTTGATAAATCTGGCAATGTTGTTCATATCAAATCGTCAAACGTTGACGTTCGCCCAACTTTGTTTGGCAACAACTATCGGTTTAAGTCTTAGCATAAATAATTTGTTTTTATAGATATCATTTTATTTATAAAAAACAACTATTGGAATAAAGTCCATACGGACACGGAACTAATGAAGTGACACGGGACAGGTCAAGGAATCTCCTATTTAAAGAAGAAACGAGTCTAACCAAGAGTGGAAGGGTCCACCATCTGCAAAATCTGATAAGTACCCACATAACATGCTATGGATATGGATATTTTATGGATATACTGAATATATTTTTTCAGGTATATCCATAAAATGTCCATAAATGTATGTACTTGATACATTCTTTCATGTATGTATATCCATTTATGGATATTTTATGGACATACTTTGTATAACTTTTATATAATAAAAAATTATAACTATAATTATAATTATAGTATATTATACTATAATAGTATACTATAGTTTTAATTTTTTTTACTGAAATTTTTAAATTTTATATTATAAGCTTAGAATATACACTGGAATCAGTGTAGCCATCCTTTGAAAAATCGTTTTTTCTCCACTTAAAGTTCTAATTCGTAAGAGACAATTTTTAAGATTTTGTTTTAATAATTAAAATATTTTTAAGATATTGAAATTTTTACATATTCATAAAAACTAATCTACTTACTGTAAACATACTAATTTTTTACCTTTTGTAAATAAACAAAAACCAAAATAATAAATTATTAAATTGTGCATAATTTTCTAAAGTTTTCTGTCATTTAAAAGTGTCAAATAGTTTGAAGTGTCCAAAAATGGATTGTTCCGTTGGAAAATTAATTAATGAAAAATGCCATAAAAAATATTTTTCGCGATTGAATCTTGTACTAAGGAGGAAAAGGGTTTAATAGAAAGGCGAGTGGATGCAACTGTAACCGATATTTGTACGAAGGTACAGGGGCGTGCTGGCAGAATCAATGGAGGCCTGGACTAGAGCAGTCCAGGCCCAAGCCAATTTCATATAAATTGTGAAAATACATCACAATTAAATACCTCGACTGATAAAACGTCCCGTGATAACTCTCCTCGCAACAAAGAACTGTTTTCAGCTAGTTCAACTATTAAGTCACAATCTAAACCATTTTGCACCTTTATCTCCAGAGCAATCAGCATAAAAGCTTACAAATTTACGTCAATTCACACTAATATTAAAGGAAAGTATTATCACAAATAAATCAAGACAAAAACTGCGAGAGGGGGCTTTTTTGGATGCTTTTGTAATTATGTTTCTGTTTCTCTCTAAATCCGAGCTGATCCCCCCTTCCGATAATTTATAAATTGACTAAAATTGCATTTTATCGAAGTGGCCCCGGATCAGTTTGGATTTCCAAAGAAACTGAAAAATAATTACGAAGGCATCCAAAATATCCCCAAATATCCCCCAGCTTTAGGTTTCCACCTGCGACTTCTTGGTTAAGGGTTGGCATAAAAAATACGTGTTTTAGATTTCTTTACGGGAGTCAATTAAAACTTTCTAATTTATATTTAGTGTTTAATAATATAACTTGAAAAAACTTTTTGTTTGGTATAAAAATCTTTTTTCTATTTGCATACCATAACAAGTCCAGCAGACCACCATGGTAGCGCAGGCCACCGGGCATTCGCCCGGTGTCCCGGCGGCCCAGCACGCCCCTGCGTAGGTATAACAAATTAAAGTATCTACATTATTTTACCAAAATTTTTGGTGAAGTCTGCTGCGATCCATTTAAACGACATAAGTCGTTAGTTTATTCCTCTTGAAAGACATTATACACATAAGAACATTTTCCGATTCATATAATTTTTTAGAGGTAAAAAATAGTAAATAGGTTTTTTTAGGTAATTGTAAAAGTTAAGAATATGACTTGTTCAGTTTATTTATCTATATGCAGTTAAAACTATAGGTTTAATTTAAATTTAGGATTTAATACCTGTTTTATTTTGTCTAAATATAAAGTTGATGATAAGTATGTCTTTTAGTCATTTAATTAATTTTTTGTACATTTTAGAAATATATGGTTAAGTGGAAGAGCAGTGAACTAGTTAGTGTAGGGTACTGAACTTCGCCTTTTGTTTGTAATAAGTTTTTTACAATCAATAAAGACATTATTATTATTATTATTATATGGATTTAGTCACAGGTGGACATATACTAAAAGAAAAATACACAATAATTTTATTTATGATTATTGGAGACTAACAAGTGCCTTTGATGATAAGCATAAATTGGTTTAAATCGACTCACTTAAACATAGCCTTTTTAAACCATGAAATGGCTGAAAATAGTGATTTTTCGAAAACATGAATTTCAAATATATTTTTTTAACTGTAAGCCGGCATTATACGAAAATGTTTTTATTGCTTTTATATACAGGGTGTTATGTAATTAATGTTATATATTAAAATGGGTTGTTCCTTAGGGTCCATAAAGAAGCACCTGAAACTTTTTTTTTCTAAATTCCAAAGTCTAAAAATAATTTATAATAACCTTTACCCTACCAAAAAGTACGCCACTGATCGACTAGGAACTTTAGGTTAATCTGGTGGATTTATTATGTTATGGTTGGAAACAACAGTGTTTCCAAAATCTCTCGAAAAAGTTGACAAACATTGTTTAAATTTAGCTTAATTACAAAAATGACAAAATTAACAATGCAAATTGTCAATTTGGCGTTTTTATTAATTGTTGATTATGTCATTTTTGTACTGAAGGTAAATTCAAACAAAATCTGACAACTTTTATGACAGAATCTAGTGCATTTCTTTTAAATTTTAGGTTATATTTTCAAATTGTAAATATCTTAACTAAGGGAAGTGCTTTTGGATTTATTTACAAAAATTAAATGTTTAAAGTTTAACCTGTGAACTGGTCCCAATTTCATCTGAGTAAACAGAGAAAAAAACTGATGAAAAAATTAATTTTGTGGTTATGGATTTCAAATTTCAAAGGTACTAAATTTTCTAATAATTGCTTGAGCTAATAGCTGGATCAGTAAATAAATACAGAAGGGTATTAGAGCTTTAAGGGCATAAAACTTTTGTATTTATTGAGATTTTATTTATTTTTTGCAAGAAAAATTTTTAGTAACAATTTTTTACATCTGGCAACGCATAGCTACTTTGTTGGTTGGTATCTATGTACTCACAAAATACAAGTGTGCAGAGATAAACCAAGTGTGTAACCAGTGGCGTATCACAAAAAATATAAAAACTTCTAATGCATATTTATTCTTTATCTTTAGAAAAATGTTTTTTTAAATATTTTTCCTTTATTCCTTATGTCAAAAGGTATTCAGTATTTTAATATATAACATTAATTACATAACACCCTATAGAATAAAATCTTTGGTAACAACTACATCAAAAAACTTTTGCTGGCAAGTTGTTTTAAGAATATATGAATTTATAAAATTAGACAATTTTGCCAAAAAATTGAATTTTTAAAAAATTCCCAAAGACCATTTAGGCCATCAATAACTAAATGTGTCATATAAGGTATAAAAGAGAAATATTTCCTCAACAATTAACAGTTTGTTTAATGTCGATAGCTTTATTAGCAAAAGAAGCACAATTTTTTAAAGTTAGGTCTGCATAGTAACTTTAGAGTAGCCCTGTATAAATAGGTGTTAGGGGGGGAAAGAAAACGGGAGCTCTTTTCACTTCTTGCGTCCTTTTCTATTTGCAGTTAAAAAATAAATAAAATTAGTGTATGTGAGGTATAAATGGAATTACCCTATGGGTAAGAATTTATTTTTATTTCTTTTTCAATGAGAAGTGCATTTATATTTTTTTTATTTTTAGGAAAATCAAGAGGCGTCATCTCTATTTTGTTTATTTAAAAAAAATGCTTTTTTTGTTTGTTTATTTTAAAAAAAGAAATTTTTTTGTTTTTCAGGATTTATCTTACATACCCTAACAATATGTTATGGATATCCATTTTCGGGTTTTTTAATATACATAATATATATATTATGGACATTCAGGAATATACATCATGGATATACTATGGATGTCCATATTACGAGTTTTTTAATGTACTTGATATATGTCATGGATCTATTATGGACATTCAGGAATATACATAAGATATACGTCATGGATATACTATGGATATCCAAATAGAGGACAAAATCATATTTTATGGATATCCATGCTATATCCATACGATATTCGCAAATATACGAATATGCATAGATGTATATCCTATGTATATTTTCTTGTTATGTGGGATATTAATGCATGCATGACCTAATACGCAAATCTGTAACAAAAACCTGACAATAATCAATCATTATTACCGAAAACAGCGTAAGAGTGTAAATATTATAATTATATTATTATATATTTATATTCAGTGTGTCCACAGATGGACTTAACTATAGGTACTTTTCGAGGAAGTCATTTTTCAAAAATTCTTTTGCTTGTTATATGAATACGATTCGCATTGAGAAACATCCATTTTGTTGTACAGGGTGAGCAAAAATACAGATATTCAAAATTAAAAAAATTTAAATATTTTTTTTTGAAGCGCTAATATAAAGAGAAGGTAAGGAGAAATCAAAAAATCAAATGAAGTTTTTTCATATGAGTTTTTGATACTAGGATATTTGATATTGAAAATTTAAGATATTAGTTTTCAAATTTTAACAAATAATTGTAGACGTGCTAGTTGAAAGCAACTACCTTGATTCATAATCACAAAATGAGATAGCATTTAATTTCTACAAAATAATAGGACCACTTAAGTTAGGACCTGAATTGATTTTTTTTTAATAACAAATATCTTAGTAACAACTCACATGAAAAAACTTTATTTGGATTTTTGGTTTCTCCTTACAAGCTCTTCATATTAGACCTTCAAAAAATGGTATTTATATAACAAGCAGAAGAAATTATAAGGAGTGACTTTTCTTAAAAAAATTGAAAATATATTCCGTAAAAAGTTTGGAATACGGCATATTCCGCTCGAGTGAAAAGTTTGTCACACGAGCCGAAGGCGAGTTTGACGGTTTCACGAGAGCGGAATATGCAATTCTAAACGTGTTTCAGACTATACTTTTTCTAGTAGAAAATTTCTACGTTTTCAAAAAATACCATAGAAAAATAATTTAATTGGGAGAAAGTGAAGTTGGATCGGTCTAAAAGTTGTTAGATTTTAAATACAGAGATGTCGCCACCTGTGTTTATTCCGTCATCCGATGATAGAATAATTCATTCTGTAATACTTTAAGGAATATGTCATTCCACATTAAAAAGTGATTTAAGAACGTTCATATTCCGTAATAGGAGTAGAAACATATTTCTACGTTTCCAAAAAATACCATAGACAAATAATTTAATTTAAAGAAAGTGAGGTTGGATCGGTCTAAAATTTGTTAGATATTAAAAACAGAGATGTCGCCACGAGTGTATATTCTGTCATCAGATGATAGAATATTTCATTCTGTAACACTTTACCGGAAAGTCTTTACGGAATATATGTCATTCCATAGATAAAAGTGATATTATTATTCCATAATAGGAGTAGTAAAACATATTTTTACAAGTAGAGTTAAGTCCATCTGTGGACAAACTGTATATAATATATAATATAAGCATTTAAAAAATTAAAAGTATAAAATATACCGAAACTAAAATAAAAAGTCACTTACAATAAATTAAATGAGCACGTAAACAAGATAACCTAAACATACCATAGAAAAAGAAATAAATTATTAAACTTAAGCAACACGAAAGTCATAAATGCTTGCCAATTACAATATATTTTATGCTACTTTATATTAATAATTATAATATTAATTTATTTAAATTTGATAAATAAAAATAAAATAATTGCAAAGATTTATTTAATTTAAATGGCAAACGGTTATAATACACTAAGAAGTGAAAGAAGGTATAAAACTTTCCTCATGCTGCATATTATGAAGACGGTACTCTGCATGAGGGATTGAATTTCCACGAAGGCAGAGGGCACTACCTAAGGCGTTCGCAGCCGGCAACATTTCGGTACTGAAGACAACATTCAGTATCGCACAGGGGGGCAAACAATTCTAAAGTGGTTACCAGGAACTGGTATTCGACTCGGACAGATACACGGCCAGAGACGTTCAGGAAGTACACCTACAAGGATAGCT